TACTAGAGTAATTTAAATAAAATTGTATCAATATTACCCTGCAATCTTCTGCATGAAAATAGGTACCGAAAGAATTTGCCAATTGATCTTCGGGTGTTGCAAGCGAGGATATAATATTTCGTGTAATATTTCGTCTTAATCGTGTCGCACCGAGGATTTATCGAATCATGCCACCTACCACAAAATCATAGAATGCCCATTTGCCCCCCCTGTACCCCGAATGAAGGGGCAATCGGCAATGGCAACTCAAGCGAAACCAATCGAATACCACTGGCCTATCATCCAATTGCTGACCATAAATTCACATAACTTTCATCCTAATTTAGTACCGGGGGAAGATTTTTTATGACTTTTTTCATCTCTCCCCAGATTTTTATGGCTTTGACATGTGATACTTAAGGCGTTTGGAAAATCCTTTTTCCAAATGAATGGGCCTTGGGGGGATGCCTTTACGACAGGTAGAAAAAGTTTATCCGAAAGGTGGTTTTTTTCATCGTTCAGAGGTTGAGACGGAGGAGTCCGACAGGTGTATCTCGGGTATGATCTCAGGCCCATACTGTGACGCATTCTCATAATGGTCTCGACTTTTTCTCTATCTCTCTCTTTTTTTCAGGTGGAAAAGGTGAGGGACTTGTATCTCTCCCTTTGTCGAGGAGAAGGAATTCATCCGTTTAGACGTCTCCAGATTCATCCCCGATCGGCTCAGGTATTCCGAGGGGTTCCGGACGCTCTGGAGAATCATTTGGTGAATTCAGTCGTGGGGAGAATGGGACTAATTACTTTAATGGCTATTTTTGGGGATGGGGTTTTCGATTGAGGGGAGATGGGCCCGCTTTGGGTCCTGAAATATGGCTTTCAGTTTTCGGGGTAATTCAATGTGAGAATTTTCTGGAAACTTCAATTATCATATCTATAAGAAGTTTTTTTCGGGGTTCCGGAAGCGATTGATTAAAACGCGTGAGAGCGCACATTCCACTCTCAAGGTCTTTTATGAAGAATACTTGAGCATTTTCTCGAGGGATTTAAAAATTCGGGGGTTAATTATTTCCTTTTTGCATTTTTTAGCATAATTTGTAATAATAAACTTTTATCAAATCGCAATTTCATTGATTTTTCCAGCGATTTCAAAGCAGAAAATGTGAAACTTTGTGAAAAAAATGAAAGTAACAGATTTTAAGGCAATTATCAGTCAACTATACTGAGTTTTAAGTATGAAGTATGTTGTGTCATATTTTCATGAATCAATTAATCGATATATTTATCAGATTTTTAATTCACGTAGTTTAAAAAAATTTATCTACAAAATTCTACAAAGTGATATAATTTTATATATTATTTTTGTTCATTTTGAAAATTGAGGACATCGCCATACCACGTGATCGGTATATCTTCTTCATGATATCCACATTTACGCTTATCGTCATGAATTAATTTCAGTCTGAAAAACAAATTAATATAACCCCGTGTTATATCTTCCCCGCAAAGAGAACAATCCAGTAAAAATTGCATTTTGCGGGAAATTTACGAAATGTTATGTAAAAATTCTTGAACATGATTACTCGTAAAATACCCGTTAGCTTCAAAAATTCAACGTTTTCAATTTTTCGCTTATATTAACATTAATATATATTACATTAATTTAATATAAAATATTCCTATAAAAATTCATTGAAAAGAATTGCCGCTTGGGAATTTCGTAAAATGTCTCGTAATTATTCATGAGTATTTCTCTCCGTGTATCTCTTCGCTACTGATTTTAATATTTGAATGTTATTAATTTCATTTCAATTTTCATGTTGTCAGACTGGAAAAATGGGAAGTAAATCGGCGTGAATGAAGGGCTCCAATGCAGTTGAGAACCGTATCGCTGAGGATTGGAGGGAGACCGAAAAGAGACTCCAACGAGTGAACAGGCGATGCCCATTGAGGCTATACTGCATTCGATTAAACGTTGTCCCCAGAAGCCACCGTATTACACCATGTCCCATTGATATCTGCAATCAAAAAATTGTCATCTTAGAAACCACTCTCAATATTATCAGCACAAGTTACTCATTAAAAAATATCAAAGCCCCCCCTACAACTTCCAATATACACGAAAGAAATTTACTCGAATCTAGTAAATTTTATAGACGGGATAAAAAAATAATTGAGTCAAATATAAAATATACTTGCAAGTTAATTTTTTTCCGGCGTTTCATTCCCTAAGAACAATAATTGTAATAAAAATTACGGAAGTTAATACAATAATA